AAGCCTTAACTCTAGTGTGATGGAGAGAAAGGGTACACTAGTTATGATATTTTTGATAAAAATTACCAAAATATCCTCAAGTAACGACTCGCGTCCTGTGTGATATCACTAAGCGATTTATGACGTAATAGGGGGAGACATCACTAAGCAGGGAGAGGTTGGACATCACTATGTATGGAGAGGCTGAAATCGTGATTTAAAAATTACCAAAATGTCCTCAAGTAACACATCACTAAGTGGGGAGCGGCAACCAAAATATCCTCAGGTAATGTCAAAATGTCCTCAAGTTCGTGACTTAAAAATTACCAAAATGTCCTCAAGTAACACATCACTAAGTGGGGAGCGGCAACCAAAATATCCTCAGGTAATGTCAAAATGTCCTCAAGTAATGACTCTCGCCTTGTGACGACAAAAAGGTAATGTCAAACCAAAATATGGTAATGTCCTCAGGTAACAACAAAATGTCCTTAGGTAACGACTAGCCCTAATGTCCTTAGGACGACAAAATGTCGACTCGCCCTAATGTCCTCAGGACGACAAAATGTCGACTCGCCCTAATGTCCTCAAGACGACAAAATGTCGACTCACCCTGTGACGTGACGTCACTAAGCGGCTAAAAATTACGTCCTCAGGTAACGACTCGCCCTAATGTCCTCAAGACGACAAAATGTCGACTCGCCCTAATGTCCTCAGGACGACAAAATGTTGGCTAGCCCTAATGTCCTCCGGACGACAAAATGTTGACCAAAATATCCTCAAGTAATTTATGACTCTAAAAATTACGTCCTTAGGTAACGACCCGCCCTAATGTCCTCAGGACGACAAAATGTTGACTCGCCCTAATGTCCTCAGGACGACAAAATGTCGACCAAAATATCCTAAGGTAATGTCAAAATGTCCTCAAGTAACGACTCTCGCCCTGTGACGACAAAAAGGTAATGTCAAACCAAAATATGGTAATGTCCTTAGGTAACAACAAAATGTCCTTAGGTAATGACTCGCCCTAATGTCCTCAGGACGACAAAATGTCGACTCGCCCTAATGTCCTCAGGACGACAAAATGTTGACTCGCCTTAATGTCCTCAGGACGACAAAATGTCGACTCGCCCTAATGTCCTCAGGACGACAAAATGTCGACTCGTCCTGTGACGTGACGTTACTAAGCGGCTAAAAATTGTGTCCTTAGGTAACAACTCGCCCTAATGTCCTCAGGACGACAAAATGTTGACTCGCACTAATGTCCTCAGGACAAAAAAATGTCGACTTGCCCTGTGACGTGACGTCACTAAGCAGCTAAAAATTACCAAAATGTCCTCAAGTAATGTCAAAATGTCCTCAGGTGTCGACTCGCTGACTCTCCCTGTGACGTGACGTCACTAAGCGGCTAAAAATTACCAAAATGTCCTCAGGTAATGTCAAAATGTCCTCAGGTGTCGACTCGCCCTGTGACGTGACGTCACTAAGCGTCTAAAAATTACCAAAATATCCTCAAGTAATGTCAAAATGTCCTCAGGTAATGACTCGCGGACTCGCTCTGTGACGTTGCATCACTAAGCTGCTAAAATTACCAAAATGTCCTCAGGTAAGTACAAAATGTCCTCAGGTAATGACTCACCCTGTGATGTGACGTCACTAAGCGGCTAAAAATTACCAAAATGTCCTCAGGTAACTACAGAATGTCCTCAGGAAACGACTCACCCTGTGACGTGATGTCACTAAGCGGCTAAAATTACCAAAATGTCCTCAGGTAACTACAAATGTCCTCAAGTAACAACTCGCCCTAATGTCCTTAGGTACGCCTGTGACGTGACGTCACTAAGCGGCTAAAAATGTCCTCAGGTAACAACAAAATATCCTCAGGTAACGACTCGCCCTAATGTCCTAAGGTAACGACTCGCCCTGTGACGTGACATCGCTAAGCGACTAAAAATTACTATAATATCCTCAGGTAACGACAAAATGTCCTCAGGTAACGACTCGCCCTGTGACGTCACTAAACGGTTGGAATCACGATTTATGACGTAATAGGGGTGATTGGAATCGTGATTTATGACGTAATAGGGCGATTCACTGTTTAAAATCGCCGATTCTCTTGTAGGATCGAGCGATTCCCTTTTTTACATAAGAATCGATACATAAATTCCTGTGGGCGAGTCCGTGACGACTCGCCGATTTTTGAAACCCTCCTATAAACCCCTATTCTAATTTTGGCTTTTTATTATTTTTAATATTTTGTGGATTACTCATTCACACCAATCCGAATCTTGCTATTCAGCTATCCCACATGGATATGCTTTTTCACAACACTTTTTATTTTTTATTTTTTATTTTAATGAAACTCACTTCACAAATTTTCTTTTACAAAATCATCCGTATCACCCGCACCCACATATGTCCAACGACCTACCCTCTATTGTACGTCGGTTCCCGTGTATGGAACATTTTAACGTCAATCGTACAAAACCATTGACCCAAAGTGATTAACTTGTAAAAGCACGTTGATTATATGTTTACGGGAAAATTACAAAAACTCCCTTGGACATAATAATCTTTACCGCCCCCTTGAATTTTTTAATCCCAACTTTTACCTTAAAACGTATTTTTTTATAAATACCTCTAAACAAAAAATAGTACAGTTATGTAGATCAAAATATGTGTTTTTTTTTTTTTAACACTTCTAACTATCGATCCAGCCATGGTCTTTCTCTTTAGGCTGTTTTTTCGGCATGAGGTGCACTTTGTTCGACACTTCCAATTGTTGGTTCGACATTGTACTCTCTGCCCGACATAATATGCACACAGTCATGCATAAAGTGCCTTCGGTTTGACAAACATGCAAAGGGTCAGATAATGTTTTTAACCTGAGTTCAGCACAAGGTGACATCGGTCCGGCACTTAACCTATTAGAATGGGTTGTGGGAGGGGCTAGTCTGGATACCTGTCCGATAGTTGTTTATAGTGCGGTCAATTATATTGTTCACGTTATCCAACAGTTGGGTATTGGATTCCAATAATGGTTTTATTGTACCGATCCGAAAGTTTTTTTTTACCACGGTCGGACGGTTAGCTTCTGGATCGTTGCGCATCCTATCCGGATGTGATGGGGACTGTGGGGGATAAGGTGGAAAAAAAAATTTGGTTAGAAGGAAAAATGTCTCGAAGTATAAATTGGGGGTATGTGCAATTTTCTTTTACTTTTTTGAACTTTTAAGGGCAATATTATATACTTTTTCGATTAGGGGAGTTCATATGTGTGGATTAGAGAACTTTTTATAAGATTGTTGTGGGCCAATAATGCGGGAACACGTGCAGAGTTGGGGCATTATAGTAATTTTCATCGTCAAGTGGTGGTACGCGATACGTACTGAAAGCGGCAAGAGCAGTGAGTCGTCGCCCACTATTTTGACCAACGCCCGTCAATTCCTGGTGGGCCCCGTGCTTTTTTAATTTATTTTAATTGTTGTTGAAATCAATTGATCTCTTTTTATTTTTATTTTTATTGGAGCTTCGAAGTCCTTGCCAACTTCCTATATCCTTATCAAAAAGTTAATATGCCATTTGTATCCTTACCCACATTTAAATGTAAGTCCTACTCCCTCGGGTGAAACTCACCAAGCATTGGTTTTAGGAACCCTAAATTTTGGGGATGGGAGCCCTTCAACTCATAGAGGACTCTTAACTTTTGGGGATGGAAGCTCTTCAACTTGTAGGGGACCCCAAGTTTGGGAGATGGATCCTCTTCAAGTAATATATGACCCCAAATATTGGGGATGCAACATCTTAAATTAACCTCAATAATTTTTTTCCTTAGTATTTGAAAAAAAGAATATCTTAAGATCAGAGATAGACCATCCAATTTATAGAGTGGAGATTTAAGAGTTAGAGAGCTCAATATTCAAATTTTTTATTTTAAGAGTAATCTAGTGATTCTTAAATAGTTTCTAAAATTTTAGATTGAAAAAAACCTTCCAATATAGCTTTTTTGATCAATGAAGTAGATGTATGCTGTGGTCTTACTGGAGCATGATATACACTGCTCGATCATTTTGAAATGAACTCAAGGTTTTTTTACAAGTGAAAAGAAACAAATGACATTTACTCCAATAACGAATTGTCTTATCATTTTCAATAACGAATTTGTCTATATCAGGTACACCCAATATGGGTCCGAGTATAGATCCAACATTTGGACCCAAGGGGTCAGGTTTGGGTCCACAACCTTGACCCAAATACTATTTGGGTTTGGGTTTGGGTCCAGTTGGACCCGACCCGTACCTATAAACTGTAGAAGATAAAACACTGCAAGGCCTATCCATTTGGGTGTATTAAAAAGTGTATACGATAAGAACTTGTAGTCATTTTTAGCTATTAAACGACAAATCATACAACTTAAAATCTAATGGAGGGCAATTGTGACTTTGTTGCCAATAATATGAGTATATGATGGTTAAAAAAAAAGTAAAAAAAGAAAAGAAATAAACTCATAGTGAGGGTAGCAATGGACCCGACCAGACCTAGGACCTGATGTGATAGGTTCGAGACTCAACATGATAGACCTGGGACCTAACAGGTATGGGTCAAACTTTTAGACTCGACCGGTCGGGTCTGGATCCAAAACCATGCTATTCGGGTCTGGGCCCGAGTGCAGTCGGACCCGACCTGTTGCCACCAATAGTTAAAATCTTGCAAAGAGGAAGGACCTCTATGCAATTATAATCGTTGAAGGGATGTATACCTAGTGTTCTTATGCTCTCTCTCTAGAGAGGGAAACAAGTAGCACGGGAATAGAGAGAGAAGTAAAGGACAAATAATAGAAGGGGATTTAATAGGGAGGGAGGGGGGTAAATGTATAGCTTTTAGATTTTGCATAGAGAGTGATGATAGAGAGGGACTACAGAGGCAAATAAAGACAACAAATGGCTAATGGGAAGTTAGTCAGAGAGGAAAAACGAGACAAGAAATGTAGTAGAGAGAGAGAGAGAGAGAGGAGGGTAGGTTCAGTAGGGAAATTACGAGGAAGACAGTGGGCGGGCGGTCAGAGAAGAAACATGGCATGAACAGAGAGAGAAAGTGTGTGTGCATGGGAAATCAGCACAAGAAAGGGAAATAGTTGGGTAGTCAGAGAGGGAGAGCTGCAGGAAAACAAGAGAGAGAGTGAGGAAAGAGAAGAGAGAAGAGAGGAGAGAAGAGAGAAGAGAGAAGAGAAGAGAGAGGAGAGAGAGAGGAGAGAGAGGTGGGAAATGAAGGGAAGAAATGGGGTGCGTGGTCTTACCCCGTGTTTTGACAGCTTCAAACTTGAACAATATATGCTTTCGAGTCGGATGGTGTGTTGAAGTTATCTGGGGTGAGAGACAAGAAAACTTTGGCTCCCTGTGTGTTCCATGGTGGTGAAAGGTGAAATTCAAAATTCAACCTTGTTTTTTGCGTTGTTGAATTCATGCCTCTTTGAAGGGACTCAGATTTTCATCGCTTTGAATTGAAAGCAGTTACCATTAATGAATTCATTAAGGGGGTGCCCCCTCCTATATAAAGGCCAAGCATGTTGGACACAGTCCTCATAGTTATCCACACACAGTACATCTTTTGGCCTTGGCTTAGTTGATGGTATGGGTTTTTTCTTCTGCTCTCTATGATCTCTCTCTCTGTTTGGAGTTGCTTCTATGCATTTGTTCTTCTGTTTTGGTTTCCTTGGTTTGTGACTTTGTATTCCTGTTTCTTCTTTTCATTCTTCTCTCTCTAACTATCTTTCTCTCTTGTTTGGGTTGATGGAAATGTTATCTCTGTGTATACTCTGTTTAATTTGAGGCGGGTTTTTGCTTGGATACCTTGTTAGGATTTCGAAATCACAGAAGACCCTTTTGTTTTCCTCTTTCTTGTGTGTCCTTTTTCTATTTGGGTTTTGATAGTATTGAAGAAACAAGAAACAAATTTTGCTGTTTTCTTGATGTTGAAAAACTCAAGTGGTTCTTCAAATGGGTCTTTGAAGTTTGAAAAAATGTCTGGTGAATCATTCACGAAGCTCTTAATTTGCTGTTTTCTTTATCTACTCAGTTTGTTCCATTTATACCTGACTTATGAGTTATGATCTTGCTTGTTCAATCTCAATATGGTCCTGCTCTTTCCATTTTCCTTGCCACTTTCTCCATTAATCTTTGCTCAATTAGTCGAAATGCGCCTCTGCTTCATTTATGCTAATTTAAAGACCTTCCATAATTGCAAAATTTTTTTTTTTTTTAAGTTTAACATATTTCCATTTTCACTGCTGAACTCTTGAAAATGTTCTCTTTTGATGTTTTACCATCCTACAAATGCAAAATATGTAATCCTTATTATGTTGTATTATTTGCTTTTTATTCTCTTCAGACTTTAGCTATTGTTGACCTGACTCATATATTCATATCATAGATATCTTGCATAAGCAAAATATCTACTTTTCCTTTGTCTTTTACAAAAATAAAAGAGCATTGTACATCTACGCTTAGCCATAAACGCTGGAAAATTAATTTTAATGGTTCTCTGTTCCTTCTTTCAGGTTCCTCCCCTTCATCGCTTTGTAGAAACGAAAAGCCAAGAGCCTAGGAATCTATTTATCTGAAAATTAGAAAAAACCATTTTTTCTCTGCTGATACTTTGATGGGTCAATCTCTTTCATCATTCCCTTCACTCTGGGGAGAAGATTTGGAAGCGTACAGAGATAGAATCAGGGACTCAACCAATAACATCGAGACTGTAATACTGAGATCAATCAGTTTTGATGGAGAAGAAGTAGAAACCAGCGTTAGGTCACTTAGCTTTAAAAGAGGTGATCCTAAGAGCATTTTGAGATCAGTTGGGTCAGGGAAAATGGTTCTTCAAGAATCATTAAGCTCCAAGAAATGGGACTCTGAGAATTTGAAGCTTGAAACTGCCATTTCATTTAAGGGTCCAGGTTTGGAAGAGGAGAGAGCTGGTGGGTCTATTAGTTTTGGAGATAAAGAAAATAACCAAGCATCTCCATTAAAACCCAGTAATAGCATCAAGGAATCCTCTCTCAGGCCCCTAAATTTTGGAAATAAAGAAAATAACCAAGCATCTCCATTAAGACCCAGTAATAGCATCAAGGAATCCTCTCCCAGGCTCCTAAACGAAAGGGATGCAGCAGCCGTTAAGCTTCAAAAGGTATACAAGAGTTACCGGACGCGAAGAAATCTTGCAGATTGTGCCGTCGTTGTTGAGGAGCTCTGGTTTGTCTCTCTCTCTCTCTCTCCACAGTTTTTTGTCTTGATCTCCCTCTCTCTCTCTCGCTACATATTGTCTTCTCTGTTTCCAATTTCTCCCTTGTTTATTTCAGAGTTCAACAAATTAAGGTTTTCAAGTTTTGATTCTGTTGGTCTAATAGTCTTGTGACCAGTCTTTCTCTGAATTTCTTAGTCATATCTTTTTATCTATTGCCATGAAATAATGAAGGGTTTGAACTTTTGATGCTAGTGGTCTAAAGTTTGACCCCTCTCTCTCTCTCTCTCTCTCTCCATGCCCCCCCCCCCAAAACCCCCTCACACACTACCATCCCCCCCTCCCCACAAAAAAGATGTTCTTCTATTCCTGTTTTCTAATCCTTGGATGTATATGTGGAATTTAGAAAGTGGGGTTAAAATTCTAAGATTTACTTTAATGGTAGTCTAACAATCTATATAATTTTTGTGGTCAGGTGGAAGGCACTAGATTCTGCAGTTCTAGAGAGGAGCTCTGTGACCTTTTTTGATATAACAAAACCAGAGTCCGCTATTTCTCGGTGGTCCCGAGCAAGACTAAGAGCAGCCAAGGTAGGCTATATACTCTTTGATTCAAGTTATTCAATATACTGTGTTGACATAAATTTATTGCTTATTAATAAATAAAATTTTAAACTTAGTAAACTACACCTATAAAACAAATTTAAAATATCTTCTATGGATATGCAGAACCATGTATCTATAGATCGTTAGTAGCATATTCCAAAGTTTCAATCTTTTTATTTCAATAGGTCTGAATTTTCTGATATGAGGTTCGGTGTTCATACAGGTTGGGAAGGGTTTATCGAAGGATGAAAAAGCACAAAAGCTAGCTTTGCAACACTGGCTTGAGGCGGTATGTTCCAATCTAGTGAAACACTTATCAGTAAATCTGCTATTGCGAGAAATGTGATGGATGCTGCACCAAGTTATACATAGCAATGCAAATTTCGATATTGCTTCATCTCCGATCTACCTATTTATCTATACCTGCACATATGCCTATGTATCACTATGTCTTCTACATGTACACACACCCACACACAGGTAGTCATAGGAAACTTGAGATTATCCTTTCTGGCAACGATCACCATATTATGATATGGCCTTAATTGAGTAGTATGGTTGAGCGGTTTGGGTTTCCCTGGTGGATTAGTACTTTCTGTGATTGGTGTCTTTTGATAAAGTATTTTATGCAATAATGGGATGCAATGAACATACTTTTTGTATTGTGTTTCTGAAAACCTCACACATCGTTTTCTTTCTTCTTGCAGATTGATGCTCGCCATCGTTATGGACATAATCTGCACTTTTATTATGACATGTGGTATGAAAGTGCAAGTTGCCAACCCTTCTTCTACTGGTAAGCCATCCTTTGCAAAACTTCTATTATTTATTGTGGAAGAATAGTAATATATATATATATATATATAAACAAATCGCTATACATTTCAGATTTAGTTTATTTTTCTGAAATAAATTGGGATCACAGGTTGGATGTTGGTGATGGGAAAGAGGTAAATCTTGCTAAGTGCCCTAGGTGTGATCTTAATCGTCAATGCATCCAATATCTGGGCCCGGTGAGTCGCCGATTTCTAAGAATTCCTGATGTTATCTTGAGATCACAAATTATGGGTTTTTATTGTTCTTAAAGACCAGCAATTTTGTACTTACTCCTGTTTTGCTTTTCTTTGGTCATGCAGAAAGAAAGGGAAGCATATGAGGTGATTGTAGACAATGGGAGGCTTGTGTATAGGCAAAGTAGGATTATTTTGGACACAACTGAAGGGACTAAAGGGTCAAAATGGATTTTTGTCCTGAGCACATCGAGGAACTTATACGTGGGGCAGGTGAATTCTCAGACCAATAGTTTTTCATTTTGTAAGATCTAATGTGAAAGTAAAATCCTTGCTAATTGCAAGATCTAATGTGAAAGTAAAATCCTTGCTAAGGGGAAAGTAAAAGTTTTTTCTTGCTTTTGAACTTTACTATTTTCCTCTTCAAACAGCAAATAATCTCTCTTCTCTCTCTCTCTCTATCTATATTTACTTTAGTAACAATTCTTCATTTGTCGTACTTGCAGAAGAAGAAAGGCTCATTTCAACATTCTAGTTTTTTGGCTGGGGGAGCTACATCAGCAGCCGGAAGATTAATTTCTGAAAAAGGAATTCTCAAAGTGAGTACTATATCGTGTTATCTAATCACTTCTGTCAAAAGATCTCTCTCTCTCCTCTTCTCTTCTCTGCTTCAAGAACTAGCGGCACACGTCATTAGAAAATCTGAAAAGTGAATGCTCCGTTAGCATATTTACCCCAATAAACAATAGAATAATATTGCTAATAACTGTTGTTTTCTGCAGGCCATATGGCCATATAGTGGTCACTACCTCCCAACTGAGGAGAACTTTAAAGAGTTTGTCACCTTTCTCAAGGAGAATAATATCGACCTCACCGATGTCAAGGTACCCACTTCTTCCCTTTCGATTTATGTACTAATGATCTTATCTAATCAATATCTAGTTGCAATCCGGCCTTACTACAATGGAAAACAAATATCAATTTTTACTGGTTCTTGGGTCATAACAATGACTTGCAATTTCAATAATGACTGAAGGACCCTCTACATAGCTTTATACAGGATAAATGACTTTCAAGTAGCGAGTTTGGGTTTCGCCGTCGATTAGGTCATGATGTCATACAAATTGTTTTACAATAGAAACAGACCTTAATTATGAAATACAATATTCAATATGCAGTCATCTAAAAAACCTTAGGAGAACTGATCAACATTTTCACTTTTCGCATTTGAATCTCACTCGTTGCATCTTTATCTTGATTCTTACAGACAAGCGCAATGGACGATGACAACCCAAGCGAGACATCAAAATCCGAGAAGGCTGAGGCTCTTGCTTCTGAGGTCTCAGTGTCAGCTGCTATGGTCGTTGATAACCAAAACATGGAATCCTCCACAACCAAGAAACCCAAAGAAGAGAAGGATGATACATTAGAGGAGGCCGAGGTAGAGGCTGCACCATGTCCTCTTGGAAACCGTCTATCATCTAAGTGGACAACTGGAGCTGGTCCACGTATTGGGTGTGTTAGGGACTATCCAATAGAGCTCCAATTTAGGGCATTGGAGAAGGTTAACCTTAGCCCTAGGACCATCCCTTCACCCTTTGGCCAACATCAAGGGCCTATTCCTTCGCCACGCCCTAGCCCTAGGGTAAGGCTATCCCCTAGGCTATGTGGGGTACCCCTTCCGAGCCCTGTGCCCAGACCACCCACCAAACTAAGTCTCCCTACAATTGGAAGGAAACTTTGAGCATTAGGCCTTGGAACCACCCCTGGGGCCAAATCCTTCATTTCGCTCCATGTCATAGGGTAAGGTCATCCCCTAGTCTCTTAAAGGTATCCCTAACCATAGGGTCTCCATGAACTAAAGCTCCCTGCAATTGGAAAGAAGATTGCTCCAGTTTTGGTTCGTTTTCTAGGCCTTGGGTATTTTTTATTGGTTTGCAATTGTTATGTTTTATTGGGGAATTGGGACACAACCTTTGTTTCCCATTGGGATTTAGATTTTTTCATTTTTCTTTTGCTGGGAATAACCATTCTTTAGTTTAATAGTTGACTACGATGAAATTTTTTTTTTTTTTTCCTGTTGTGAAGAATAACCATTCTTTTCTTAATTTCATTGTACAAAGCGGCTGTGTATCATGAGAAGATTCATGTGAAGAAAATGATTCATTAATTGCAAGATAGTACCTCATTTTTATCGATCTTGAATCACATTTTAAAGCTTCAGTTCATATCTTAAGATGGTATGGCCATGTATTCTGATCAAATTATTGCTGAATATTACTTTTGTTTAATCATAATCATATTGTAAAACTTTGTAGCACCCAAAGAGTTAGCGTATAAGAGGGTATTCTGATAATTATTTTTTGGGTAAATTCTCATTACGAAAACTATTGAAAACTTTCAATAATTGAGGAAATATCAAGCTAGAAGTTGTCCAAAAAAAGACATCATATTTGAGTTAAACTAAAATAAAAATCAGAGTATGAGCTCTCCATATTTTTGCATAACCAACCTAGATATTATTACTATCCATTGGTTCTTTGCCTTGGTTTCCTTCTCCATGAAAATGCAGGACCATCCAATTCCCTCTTTTCAGTCCAGCACTGATCATAGTATACGGAACTTGTAAGGTGCTTCCACCATCAACTAAGTTGTTTCCCAAAATGCTAAAATGAAAATCATAATACCAAGTTGTTTTGAGGTGCTTTCAGAATGTACCAAGGCATGTTGCCATAAACAAGGGAAACACTTGAAAATATTGTTCTCAACAACTAGGTGTTTGCACCATTGCATTAAGGGATCTACCATTCAGCAAGGGGACACTATCCCTACCTGTTACAATATTACGCACCTCATGCAAGAGCAAAGGTCCCTTGGGGTTAATTTGTGTTTTGCCCCCCTCAAGGTGAATTAAGATTTTATGTACATTTCATTTTTTGCATTTTATGTGCAAGGTAATAAAACCCTTACAAGGTCCTAACAGTTTCTTATACAAAAATGAGTAGTTCTTGCAATTTATTTGCGAGCAACATGCCCCTCTAATAAATAGGGAAAACAACTAAGTCCTAAACAAAACTGGTAGTCATGAGGGTAATCTCCATCCATTTTACTGTTTGATGGTGAGGGAGAGAGGGATCAACCATTTAGACATTGGAGTATTATCATTTGTTGGTGGTTCCCACTGTCTTACTAAGCTTTGATTGGATGGTGATGACTATCATGACTGACAATTTCCGAATATTCATGGCACGTGAGGAGTACCATATGGCACTGCATCTCAAGTTCGACTCCTCATACTACCCATATCACTGATCTATGGGTTCAAATTGTATATTTGGATCATTTAGCCCAAAAATTTGTACATTACATTACAAAGCATAGTGAGGTATAAGGTTGGCAATGGACTGGGCAGCCTAGCTCGACCCTGAAAAACTATGATTTGGGCCACAAAATATAGCTTGAGGGCTAGGCTACCTCGGCTTGAGGGTTGGGCCCTGTTGGTCTTGGGATAGGGGTGGGTTGGACCAACCCCTTTTCCCTTATTTTGCTCCTTATATTTCCTTTTGAGTTTACTAGGCCCCATTTAGATTGGGTCAAGGCTAGGCTTGGTCAGAACCGGGCTGGCTTATTGAGAGACCAGGATCGGGGCTGGCCCCATTCAAGCCTTGGCCTGTTGCCAGCCGTTGTAAAATGAATATGTATGACCTAAATTATTCTCATATCTTATTTGATTCCTCCTAATATCAAATTTGGGATTTTTTTTTTTAGCTCAAAATTCCCTGGATGTGAAATTGATTTTGGGAACTTTTGTGATTAAAATCAATGTTTCCATTCAAATATTATTCTCTGACAAATGTGATCTTATAGTTTTAGGCAATCATTTCTAAGGAGGAGTTGACCCCGTGGGTGCCAAGACCAATATGGACCCGTGGGTTCATAGAATACTTTCTTTCTACACCGCAGTTTGTTTTTTCACAAGGTGAATGGGCTCTTCCCTTTGTTCCTCAACGACCATTCAAAAATAAAATTACAAAATGTAAATTATAATTTGAATTAGAAACCATATCGTTTGCAATAGCTAAATATACACAAAATGAGAATATAACTACATGGGAAAAAGGAAATACCTCAATAGCTATTAAAGAAGATGAAACAATTGTCTCAAAAATTTAAAACGAAGAAAAATAAAAGAGCTAAACAGGTAAAAAGATCCAAAAAAAAAAAATCGCATGCTCGGGGGAGCATAATGTCCAACAACTACCTCGGCAGAAGAGTAATTGGTGAGAATTTTTTTTTTTGTCAGAATTCCGAAACTTTGGATTTCATCTAAGTATCATCATGATTATTTCAAGGAAAGAGGTTTAGATTTTCAGTTTTTGAACACGCAGATCTTGCTTCCCAAAACTTGAATGGTTCTTGTTCAATCATGAGATGTCAATATTTTTGAGGCACATACTTCATGAAAAAAGCTTGGATTTTTTTTCAGCATTTGACATTGGTTATTAGGTTATAGAGGCTACATCCCCAAAATTATGGGGGTAGAAAAATATTCCTAACATGAGTTTTACCCGGAGGTAGCAAATGATCAGTCAGTATGATTTTGTGGGAAAAACAAATCTATTTTACTTAATTAGGTATAGTGTAGATAGGATTCTTGTTCCTTGACTTGAGAGAACCTGGAATATAGGACCGTAGATATCGATAAAAAGTAAAGAAAATTTTCAATATATATCTAAGAACCACCGATTTTCAATTATTCACCATGACTTTTTTCAAAGGGTTTTTTCAAAAGGGAAACGTTTATATAGAGTCGAGTCTCTGAACAATCAAATTGGAAATCTACAACAAAAATTTCACTAGAAGAGGTTGTTTTGATGCCCAAATATCCTCAACTTGATCATTTCGACATCAAGATGTATGGACATGAGAAAAAAATGGACGTCAAGTTTTGAAAATAAGGTATTTTGTAATGCATTTTTGGACTGTCAATTTTAAAGATTTTCAAGTTTTCATAGATCTGTCGATCTACATTACTTTTTAAGCTTAATAAATTAAGATGAAAAATATTTTAAGACTATCACAAAGATTTTCAGTAATGAAACCACATTACTCGACACTATTTGAAGGTAGGCTCTAATGTGATTGTTTAGAGCCTAGGCTCTATACAAACCGCACCCTTTTTTAAATGAAATCTACTAAAGAAGTAAAATGTTAAATAACCCATCTCTTGAATGTATTTTGATAAATTTCTCTAAAATGTGAGATGATCTTGTAAGCCAGTAAAATATCATCTCATCTTAGCAATCAAAATATCCGGAGAGAAAAGGAAATTTACGATTACATGTCATGTGTAAGTTGAGGAATTTAAAGTTCACTCTTAGTTATATATTTTACCCTCATGAGTCACTTTTTTATAAATTTTATTTTTCCCAAAGTATATCTAATTCGAAACTCGATATGAATGAATTTTTGTTAGCCAAATAGTAGTGGAGAGTAGCAACCGGAGATGATATGTTGCGGAAATAAGTTTACTAGGAGCTAAACATGGAGGGGCTGAGGAAGTATCATTTCAAACAAGTTGGGGACAAATAGTTCATCATCAATTCATCATATGCATGGAAAGCTATAGAATATTTCGGACCTCTTTTCCGAAGATATAGCAGAATTATGGACATGGCTTGAAGACAATCTCCTGGAAAAGCAAATGGCTGAGTCAAATAGCTTTGAACATCCAAGATCCAAGCATGTCCCAGAAAGCAGCCTGACCATGGATAATAGTGAGCCTCAAAGTTTATGTTTTTATGTGATCACAGCATCAAAAAGAGAGTCTGAATTTTCCACAGAAGCCGGCTCGAAATATTTGTTCTTAGCTGCAGATTCTGCACTTGGATTTAGCTCTTTGGATTCATTCTAATATTCTATCATTCTAATTTAGTTATTAATTCTATTTAGAAGAGTGGATGAAGAGCTAGCAAGATATTACACCTAAATATTAGCTATACTGCAGGATGTAAACTATTACCCTGAAATGCAAGATTTAGTAGCATGGGAACTAAGTGCTAGAGGATGCTTTTAGGTGAAGTCCTTATATGCTAAGTTGAATAAGGACTAATATATAAACCCAACCAATTATGTGAAGAAAGCTTGGGCATTATGTATACCATATCATGTGAAAGTTTTTATATTGTTGACAATTAAGAGTAGGTTATTATCCATTGAGCAGTTGAGAAGAAGATGATTAATTTTGACCAATATTTGCCTCCTAAGTAAAGCACATGAGGATGCCATCACGATGAATTTGCGCCTTTTGGATCAGGGCTTCAATGTGATCTTTAATGAGGAAGCAACCGTCGACCATGTGTCCCAGCATCCTATGGAAGATGTAGTAATTATTGCAATCAGCGAGCCCTGCTTGCTCGGCTCTCCTTGGTGTCGGTACTAAAGATCATCAATTTCTTCATTGCTCATGTACAAGGGAGATGAGGAAATTGATATTGCAACAATTCCAGCTTCAATGGCTAACCCCAAAATCTGTTACTCAACTATTTGCACAGTGGGTGGCTCCCCATTTCTAAAATTGGGCATTCGACTCATTTCTAAAATTGGGCATTAGACTCTGGGGTATTGCAGTTGCTGCAATATGTGGCATCTCTTTAAAGAAAGGAATATGAGGGCCTTTGAAGGTAGGGTTCCTGAATTAGAGGAGGTCAAGTACAAAACAATGGCTTCTATAGTGGGTTGGACACAAGCATCAGAAGAGTTCATAGAAGTATCAACAACAAGCAAATGCTTGTACAATCAAGGAGAAAATTGCTAAAATCTGATAAATGGGAAACACCACCAATTGGTATGGGTTAAACTCAATTTTTATGGGAGTTCTAGGGGCGAAGAAGGGAACTAGGGAATGTGTTAAGAGAGTTATTTATCATTGTATAGCCATTTATTTATTCTCTCTTACCCTCAAGAGTACTTTAGTCTTTTGCTTTTTATTTTACATATATATGTTATTGAGAAAATGAAATGTGGTGGAGTGGTTGGAATGAATGAAGGAGTGTTATTTTCCCCCCTCTCTAGGGTTTTCAAATTGGGAAAATATCTTCGTACACTCTATTTTGGTATACCATTTTTCAACACACTCAAAATTTTTAAAAATTTCTGGCTACATAAGAATTTCACAAAACATATCTTCTAACCCC